TGGTTTTAATCAAAATGAGTATTTGTCAACGGAATCATAATTTATGGGTATTTAAGCAAAATTTTTAAAAATCACGATTTTGGCCTCCAAAATTGATTTTTTTTTTTTGGGCATGCAAACACAATATGACAATACCTGTTGCTTAAAAAGTTTAAAATCACACCAGAAAACATTACATCTAAACCGTCCAAATATTACGATTGGGGAGAAAAAGAGAAAGGAAAAGGGATGAGAAAGAAAGAGGATAAATCTTTTTCAGTTTATTTAATTTCTTGCTCCGGCACCCCGTGCTCCACCAAACAACAACTTATTCTTTAAAATGTGTTCTAGTATCAGCCGTTCTATTTAATTTGATTAAAATCTTGGCCGTGCATTCCTTTTAGCCTCATTGACGTAATTTATTGAAAATTTAAAACATGATACTCTTCTGGTTCTTAATCTAAGAGTTAATAAACTAATTTAAATAGATTAAAAATGTTAGTTAAATTAGTTAAAATAATATGATTTTCTAAAGCACTCTAAACATCTTTATTAATTTTCTCCCCCCTTTTCTACTTAATTATTATTCAGAAAATATCAACAAGGTTAATTTGAAAAAAATTAATGAACATATTAAATAGGCCTTATGTATAAGATTAGCATCAACTTTCTAAGTAAATCTTATATTAAAGACTGAAAGAGTATCAAAAATCAAACTGAGCTCACCGGGTTGGCCTAGAAACACAGAAACTAACCAACAACCCAAGCCTTAATAAAAGAATTAGTTTGACTTTTAATTTGGTCTTAAACATAAGACCTCAACTCACTTTGTCTCTTATGTTTATCCATCTTTTTTAAAGAAGTTCTTGTAGTAGTTGCACATAATAAATATTTTATCAAATAGTAATTCTAGTTAATATATATGATTAGTATGAGTATTTTAAGAAAAATAACCCTTATTTATTACAAATAACTGATTTAACAAATGTTTTTAATTTATTCAAATTAGTCAACTAGCTTTTATATTAAGCACTAGAGGCAGTAGAATACAACCATATCTGATAGGAGAAAGGAGGTTTTCCATTATCTTGTATATGGGAAGAGACGGAGAAGATTGAAATGGTTTCATCGTCAACAGTGTATGTATGAATTAAACGGCTGGTTCTTTTTTTTTGGGGGGGGGGGGGAGGGTGATAAAGTAAAACTAAACTTGAAAAGGAAGGATCATAGCTAAATTATAATTGACTGACTTCTGGCGACCAAAAAAAAATTGTAATTGACTGCTGGTTTGTACGAAAGTATTCAAACTTGGGTGACTAATAAATGAATCAAGTATAAAGTCGCACTCCCGCGTGGATGCCATATCGATATTCTATATCTTGTGGTGAATTGTGATCGATCAGTCGAAGCGTTTGATTGCCCTCCTCTCTGATTCCCTCAATAAGCCATGGCTTCTTCTTCTAGTTCTTCCTGGACTTACGACGTGTTCTTGAGTTTCAGAGGTGAAGATACTCGTCATGGTTTCACTTCTGATCTTTATAAGGCTCTAAGAGAGTCAGGAATCCATGCTTTCATGGACGATCCAGGGATTGAAAGGGGAGAAGAGATCTCTGCTTCATTATTGACAGCAATTGAAAGATCACGAATTGCTTTGGTAATTTTGTCTCCGGATTATGCATCTTCCAGATGGTGTCTGGATGAACTGGTGAAAATAATGGAATGTCAAAGAACCGTGGCTCAGATGGTTATTCCCATATTCTATAAGGTAGATCCGTGTGAAGTTGGTCGTCAGAGAGGCAGATATGGTAAAGCAAATGGAACAACACGAACAAAGGTTGGGAAGGAGGACAAATGATCGGGTGTTGCGGTGGAGGCAGGCACTAACGGCTGCTGCCAACATCGCCGGCTATGATTCAGAAAATCGGTAATATTCCAAGCCTGCTCTGATTTTGAAAAAAAGAAGAGGAAATTATGATTGCTCGAACCCAAAATACTATTATTATATTATATGGCCCTGTAGGTGCTGTGACAAATTTTCTTCCCACTTTCTATTTTAAATATATAATTCTATACTTGGACATGTTTGCTTGCATAGATTCTTCTTTTTGGGACTCAGAGACATGTTGTATATAAAATTTAGTGGTCCCGCCACGCATGCTTGCAGATTTTGCGAGTTAATCCAAATGAAATCGTCTATCTTATATTTTTATTAAGAATTAAAAATAAAGTTTAATAATGTCACTAAGAGTATTATATATCCTAATTGTTATTATTTTTGGCCTATTTGCCTTTCCTATCCTTTTGCGTTATTTTCAATTAAAGGATTTGAAGAAATTGTGCGTTCTTCGATGAATTATATTCATTTGATTCAGTTTTAGATTCAAATGACATGAGTCCAAAAAAAAAAAAAGATTCAAATGACACTGAACCGAATTGCCGGATTTTCCAAAAACTAGGATCTATTTGCTCTTGTATCTCAGCTTGGGTCCACATCTTAATTCAACTTTGTTCATGCTTGCGCTTGTGTAACTTTAATTTGAATTTTTTTGGCCTGAAATGTGACTACGAATTTGCCCACACATACGCACATATATAATTTTATGTATATATATAAAGAATTTTCGCGTAACATTTTAGATCACTAAATTGCCACTTTTGAAATTTCAAAATCCAACAACTTTTCAACGACTTATTTATAATTTTAGATCACTATATTTTGGACAAATACTTAATTTTAATAGTGTCCTGTGATATTAAGCTAAATGCCAGCAAAACGTGGCCCAATTATTATGTAGAGTGAAAACCGAGCAAAAGTTAAGATAGTTCCAATTACATCCTCCATGTTTAGCCAAAAAAAAAAAAATTACAGCCTCCATGTGCCCTTGGCCTTTTGAAGCCCTCTCCTATTCGGTTCCAGCAAATGCTCATCATGCATGCACGCGCCCGCGCACTTAGTAGCTAGCTAAATTAGTCCATCTATTATTCTTCATGATCAGCTTTTTTTTTTTTGTTTAAAAATAAGTCTTGTTGCTATTCCTAGCAATGATGTTGATTATAGTTTCACGGATATTTAATATTGTATACAGGCAAGACAGTACGCTGATTAAGACTATTGTTCAGCATGTTTCAGACAAATTAGACATTGGACCATTATTTGTGGCCGAGCATTCAGTGGGTATAGAATCACGAGTTCATGAACTAACAATTGAATGGTCACAAAATATCTCCCAAAAAGCTCTTATTATAGGCCTATGGGGGATGAGAGGCATTGGCAAGACAACTATTGCCAAAGCCATTTACAATAAAATGGGTCGTCAGTTTGAAGCCAAAAGTTTCCTAGTAGATATAAGGGAGAATTCAAAGCATGGTAACGACCAAGTTAATTTGCAAAAGCAACTCATTTCTGATATCACTAAGACACAAGTTTTCAAGATAGCTAACACTGATAGAGGAAAAAAGATAATTCAGGAAAGATTTCCCCACATAAAAGCATTTGTTGTGCTGGATGATGTGGACAGTGTCAATCAACTAAACACATTATGTGGAAGTCTTGAATGGTTTTGTCCAGGGAGTGTAATAATCATAACAACTAGAGATTTGCATCTGCTTAATGTGCTTAAAGCTGATCATAGGTATGGAATGAGAGAATTGAATGAAACTGAGTCTCTTAACCTCTTCAGTTGGCATGCCTTTAAGCAAGCAGCTCCCTTTGAAAACTTCATAGAACTCTCTAAAAATGCAGTCACTTACTGTGGTGGACTTCCATTGGCTCTTGAAGTCCTTGGTTCTCGTTTGCTTGATAGAGAAATTGAAGAATGGGAGGATGTATTGTCCAAGCTAGAGAAGATTCCAAATGATAAGAAACAAGCAAAGTTAAAAGTGAGTTTTGAAGGTTTAGAACATGGGGAAGAATACATTTCTTGATATATAGAGTATGTTGCTTCTTTATCAATACAAGGATAGAAATGTACCATTCCGGTCCGTGTGTTTTAACATAGGATGTTCCGTCCCGAGCCTATCCAGATATATTATCTTTTTTTTTTCTATTTAAATTTTACAAGTTTTTATGTATGAGTTGTGTGATGTTTTTAGTGCATATTTTGAGTCTCTATATTTTCTGTTTTTCAAATGGAACGTTTTTCTTTTTTATTACTGTCAATTTTTATCAATTTTCTCTATACAATTCTACCATGAAATCTTATGCTCCAAGTACATTTAGTTTTGAAATTAAAAAGAAAAAAAGACTGGACGTCCCGTTTCATAAATACTCCTAGCATTGGGGTTACAAATTTAGTATCTTTAGTAATGTAATGTTTGAAACCTCTTGAATTTCATGACGTATAAATTTAATGTTTTATTTAATTATTTTTATCGGTACACGTAAATTTAAGAAAGACTCATATTTTGAGCGAAAGAGAGTACATGAACAAGGAGAGTAGATAAGCACTCCTTCCATTTTTTTAAGAAAAAAATTAGTTAAAATTGGTTAAATATAATAAACATATAAAAAACTGTAAAATTTTTTCTCAAAAATAATCTTATTGCCGGGAGGAGTGTGTAAGAGAGATGATAAAGACATAAAAGAATGATGATTTCAGAAATGAGATAATAAATATAGTGAGTATTAAAAGAAGTAATTAATGGGAAGAAAAATAGAAAACTAACCAATAAAATTTGAGATATTTTGTAATTTTTCCTTATAAAGAGAGGTAAGATGGGGATAATAATTGTTTTTTATGAGAGGAAGATGGAGGGAGGATGGCAGAGGAGAAAGGATTTTCAAGGAAAAGAGAAAGTGATACAGTAGAAATTAATTAAAAGACGAGGCGCTATATTATAATTGACTGACTTCCGGCCCCCAAAAAAGATGAGATTGGTTTGCTTCCTGAAGTCAGGCTTTTTGTACTAAAACAGTCAAACTTGGGTGGCTAAAGAATGAATTAATTATAAAGCCACTTTCTCGTAGATACCATCGAATCGATACTCTATATCTTGTAAATTGCGATCCATGTAAGCGTGTTATTGCCCCTGCTGCCTGATTCCGTCCATAAGCGGCGATGGCTTCTTCTTCTTCTTCCGGTTCTCCCTGGACTTACGATGTGTTCTTGAGTTTCAGAGGCGAAGACACCCGTTACGGTTTCACTTCTCATCTTACTGAGGCTCTGAGACACTCAGGAATCCATTCTTTCATGGATGATTCAGGGATTGAGAGGGGAGAGAGGATCTCTGGCTCGATATTGCAAGCAATTGAAAGATCAGGAATTGCGTTACCAATTTTCACTCCGGCTTATGCTTCTTCCCATTATTGCCTGGATGAACTGGTGAAAATGATGGAGTGTCAAAGAACTCAAGCTCAAGTGGTCATGCCAATATTCCATGACGTGGAGCCGTCAGATGTTCGTAATCAGAGAGGCAGATACGGCGAAGCAATGGAACGACACGAGCAAAGGTTGGGAAGGGGCAGTGATCGGGTGATGCAGTGGAGGCAGGCACTTACCCAAGCTGCCAACATTTCCGGCTTTATTTCCTCGCCAAATCGGTAACATTCGAAACCAGCCCTCATTAGGACCAAAAAAAAAAAAAAAAAGGAAATGATGATGATTGCTCACACTCAAAATGCTTTCATATATACTCTTCTTGTGAGTAAAGAGAAAAACACATTTTTTTTGTCCTATTCATAGGGCACCAAGACAAATTTTTATATGCATGTACAATTTTACTTTTCATTTAATATTGTGTTGACTTTATTGATATAATGTATAATACATATTAAATAGAGATAACGAGGGACAATCGATAAGGAGAAAGACATATATTAAGGACCATCAGAATTAGAGAATCCCAAAATGCTCCTTCAAAATGGCTTAATTCCTATAAAGTTATAGACTTTTCTAAGATTAAGTTTTTTTGTGAAATGACCTAATTGTCCTCATTAAAAAAAAAAAAACCCTCCCTATCGCTGGTCGCTGGCGGCCTCCTCCGGCGTGCCAAAAACCAGAGCTTCAACACTGATTGCAGGGGAATTTCTTCGGTAAGGGTTGGTCAATGTTGAATTTGAAAACAAAAACTTTAGCAGTGAAGTAATCATTGATCCACCAATAATTTTTTTCCCTACTTGGATCCACAACACTTAAAGTCCAGAAATTGAAGTTTTAAGAGAGCAGTTGTCATTACTTGAGTTGTCATTATCATTTCGTATAACTAAAATTGTTATTTCTCAGAATGAAGTAGTTCTTGATCCACCAGTACTTGAAATTCTAAAAGCTAAAATTTAAGTGAGTAGTCATCACAATTTAAGTTATTTGTGTCACTACATAGAACTAAAAGTGAACTAATTATTGACACACTGAAACTTAAAATCCTAAAAACAGAATATTAAGCCAGTAATTGTCATTTTTTAAAAATTATTATTGTCATTTTCATATAATTAGAATTATCAACGTGACGCTGTAGTATCTTGTGATTCCATGATTGTGTGTGCCGAATATGTCCGTCCAATAAAAAATATATGTAGAGTTAAAATAGATTAATGTTGACTAAATTAGTCCATCTCTTCATTCTTAATGGTTCATTAAAATTATTCTATTTAAAAATAATCTTTTTGGTTTATTTCTAATAGCGATATTATATATGCGGCTGATTATTGTTTCACGGATATTTAATATTACTGACAGGAATCAACTTGGTCTGATTGAGGATATTGTTGGGGCTGTTTCAGAAAAATTAGACTCTGGACAATTGTTTATTGCTGACCATCCAGTGGGAGTGGAGTCACGAGTTCATGAACTGACAATGGAATGGTTAAAAGAGAGATCACCAAAACCTCTTACCATAGGTCTCTTTGGGATGGGAGGCGTTGGCAAAACCACTATTGCCAAAGCCATTTACAATAAAATTAGTCGTCAGTTTGGTGCAAGAAGTTTCCTTGCAAATATAAGAGAGAATTCAAAGCATGCTAGTGACCTAGTTAATTTGCAAAAGCAACTCATTTGTGATATCACCAAAACACAAGTTTTCAAGATACCTAATATTGATAGAGGGAAAAAAATAATCCAGGAAAGATTTCCCAACATAAAAGCATTTCTTGTGTTGGATGATGTGGATCGCATCAATCAACTAAAAGGATTGTGTGGGAGTCACAAATGGTTTTGTCCAGGGAGTGTAATAATCATAACAACTAGAGATCTGCGCTTGCTTCATTTTATTAAAGCTGGCTATAAGTATAGAGTGAGAGAAATGAATAAAATTGAGTCTCTTGAGCTTTTAAGTTGGCATGCTTTTGACCAAGCAACTCCATTAAAAGATTTGATTGAACTTTCCAAGGAAGTAGTTGATTATTGTGGGGGACTTCCACTTGCTCTTGAAATCCTTGGTTGTTGTTTGCGTGACAGAACAATTCAAGAGTGGAAGGCTGTATTGTCCAAACTACGAAGAATTCCTAACCAAGATATACATGCAAAGTTAAAAATAAGTTATGATGGATTGAACGATTATATGGAGAAGGATATTTTCCTCGATATATGTTGCTTCTTTGTCAATAAGAATAGGAACTATGTTACAAAGATATTAGATGGCTGCGGACTTCATGCAAAATATGGACTACAAATCCTCATAGAGCGAAGCCTCATAAAAGTTGGTAGGAATAAAAAGCTTGAAATGCATGATTTATTACAAGAAATGGGAAAAGAAATCATCCGTGGAAGCCCACCCAATGACCCTGAGAAACGCAGTAGATTATGGTTTCATGAAGATGTACTTGATGTCTTAGCAGCACATACGGTAAGGATTTTCTTGATATGCTGTTTTCTTTTGCACATTTTGATTTCAAGGGATGCTTTGTATTTTTCTTAAAAAAAGTTTGTGATCTTTCCTTTTTTTTTTGGCTCCATTATACAAGTTTCATCATCCTTTGTTATAGCGATCTTTTACATAAGAAGCAAGATTAAGATGTATCCATGCCATGTGTTGATTGGCTTTCTCTCAACAAATATCAAATGCTTCCCTTTCTCGTAACATTTTTTTCTCCCACTAATTTACAGGGAACTGAAGCTATTGAGGGTATATCTCTAAAGGTTCAAGGAAGTCATAGAGAGTGTCTCATTGATTCTGTGGCATTTAAGGAGATGAAGAAACTTAGATTGCTCCAACTAGATGATGTCAATCTTAAAGGAGATTATAAGCATCTTTCCAAAAAGCTAAGGTGGCTCTGTTGGCACAGATTTCCATTGAAATACATTCCAAGCAACTTTTGCCAAAAAGAATTAGTTGCTATTGACCTCAAATATAGCAGCCTCAGTAGTTTGGAAAGAGCCCCAGGTATATATATATTCGTTGTTACTTTTTACGAAGACAATCAACATCAATGATTATTATAATTCTTCTACGTACTATGAAGTTTCTAATTATTTATTTGAAACCTGCATGATTTTGCAGTTGCTGGAGATGCTGAAGACACTCAATCTTAGTTGTTCGTCTTGGTTGAGACAAACTCCTGATTTTACAAAATTACCAAGCCTTGAAAGGCTAGTGATGAAAGATTGTCCGAGCTTGATTTTAATTCATGAGAGCATTGGAGATCTAAAAAATCTTCTTCATGTGAACCTAAAAAATTGCAAGTGCCTCAGAAAACTTCCTAGAAGCGTCTACAAGTTGAAATCATTAAAAACTCTTATTCTTTCTGGTTGTTCATTGATTGACCATTTAGAGGAAGATTTTGAGCAGATGGAATCCATGACAATACTAAAGGCAGATAACACTGCCATAACAGTAGTACCCAAGTCATTAGCAAGATTGGAAGTGCTTAAGCATGGATATGTATGTTTCCCTGGCCTTGAAGGAAGAGCACAAGATATATTTCCTTCTCTCATATGGTCTTGGATGTCACCCACTGATATTCGCGAGTCCAGTAGTGAAGCATTTTTGCTGAGCATATCATCTCCATTTTTCTCAGTTGTACAGAATGGTAGCTTTCATGGCCTATCTCCATTTCCAAGCGATTTTGCCAAGCTTCGAGGTATGTGGGAGGGATGCCGATCACAGTCTCGATTCAATAGAGAAACGGAAAGAGGTTTGGATGCCTTGTATGGGACAAACTTTATGGAATTGGAATCCACGCCAAGCACATCAAAATTCTCATACATGGAAGCTCCTGTATCATCTGACTGTCATGATCGAGCTCACAATGCAACGCCAGCAGATTCCTCCAATTCCCTTTTAATTCAAATGGCAAAGAGCAGCAAAGTAGACATATTGAAAGACAAAATACTACAGGTTTGTCTCTGTTTTCTTTTCTACGACCATCATATTTGGAAACATGAATTTTGTGAGGTTCCTAACGCGTATTAATATTTCTTGCTTGCATGGAAAAATCTGTAGTTTCAATAAAGGGCGGTAATTACCTGACATGAGCCCTATTACTTCCCACAAGTCTAATGAGTATGCTAAAATAAAGGTAGTAGTTATAAGTACTTATGTACAAGATTTTGATTCCTGTGTGTTGATGCAATACATAGGGATGGAATAATGGTGGGGGGGATGATTCTTACCTACCTGGTGATCAGTATCCTGACTGGCTCATTTACAAGGGCAAAGGACACTCTGTAATTTTTAAGGTGCCTCAAGTCATAGGTTGTCATTTGAAAGCGATGCTTCTCAATGTTGTGTATTGTTCTTGCATGGATAACACAACGCCTCAATTTCTCCTGAATGTTCTGATCATTAACTACACGAAAGCTACTGTTGAACATCGTGAGGGAGACTGGGCAACTTTCCATGAAGATGTAGAATGGCAGAGTATCATATTCTAAGTGTTCAACCTGGTGATCTGGTGGAGCTTGTTTTAAGCATTGGGCCTCAATTTCCTGTCAAGATGATTGCAGCATACCTGATTTATGAAGGTTCTAAGAGTTGCAGGTTATTGAAATAATTGTTGCACAGCCTGATTTTGGTTTGTAATATAGCCTCGCTACTTCTGTCCTAGCTGCAACTTTCTATGCAGGGAACATGGCGATTACGCAGCTTTTTAAATAAGATAATGATACTTCAAGAGTCCAAATTTGAAAATGCCAATTGGTTCATGGAATTTCCCTAATCAGCAAATGACCTTGTTCATCAATTGGCACTTTCAAGTTTTAGGGTCATTAACTGGTATTATCTTGCTAAAATCTGTTGTGATATGTTGGATGATGTAGTGTGTTTTGAGTGTTTGTGTCTGAAGACTCTTAGATGAGTGAATTGGACTTTCAAAAAATTATTGTTGTCATTATGATGTCTTTTGACTGATAGAAACTTTCCATTCCAACTGTTATCTGAACATCAAGTCTCTTGATGCAGTGTGATTGTTGGAATTCTAGATTTTTCAATTTACAGACAAAACAATTTGAAGTCTTTCTTCTCACCAAAAACATGGAAAATAAAAACCGAGATTAAGAAGGAAATAATCAGTCAGCTTGCTAAATCTTCATCGGACAATCCATAGACCTTGCCCCACAAATTTCAAATAAAATTCAATTTAAATGCAAATGTAATTTTTTTATACTAATTTGTGAAACAGCTTCCTTGAATAACAATACCAAATAAGAGCCGATTGATTATGTAATCTGTACGTACTGTGTGAGGATTCAGAATCTCTTGCAGTAACATCCATTAAGATACAAGGAATTCTGATTGCTGTCAGAAAAATTGACAAATAATTTGCTAGCTGAATCATAACTGAGAAAATCACTTTCACTATCTCTGAAATTGAGCAAGCATATAAAGAAAATAAAAATGCGGAGATAAGAAATTCTACTATTGAATTTCTGCTTACAAAAGTCATTTCTGCCTAAAGGTGCCAGTTGAGATATGATACTCAACGAGACCACTGTTGAAGCTTTGATGGATGAAGAAATGGGGTGATTTCATATCTTCGGGGCCCTGTCAGGAAGATAAAAGAATAATGCAGGCGTCTTTATTTAGTTATAAAGGGGAATCTGAATTGGGGAAATTGCAAATAAAGACCCTCCAATATATAAAATAGCTATCAGGGACCCTGAATTTGTAAAATAGCTTCAAAGGACCCGGTCCCAAATTGCAAATATGAAATGATGGTAGAATGTCCAAAATGCCCTCTGCTTTTCTCTCTTTCTTCCTCTCCAGATCATCTTCTTCCCGACCTTGCCTCCTCATTTTCCTCTCACTCTTCGTTCTCTCTTTCCTCTCCAAGTTTCCTTCCCTCTCCTCACTCTTTTCCCAAAGTATATGGAACTCCCAATGTCTTTCGGTGGTCCTCTCCTCATTGTCATCCCCGTCACTTTCTTCTTATCTTGCTTACCTGCTCTTTCGTCAACAATGAAGCCTCTTCCATCATTCTCTCTGTTGCTGTGGAAGGAGAGGAGAGTCGGGAGTTTGAGGGAGAGTGACAGTCATTTGTAATGCTTGTAATGTTTGCTTGCAATGTGTGCGGTGATTGCTTGGTGCTGAGACAACGCCCAATAAATCTGGATTTTTATTCTTCATTTCTATTTTGATTTTCAGCTTGTGTTCGTAATTGAAAATAACGAGTTTGATAAGTTGTTGAAAATAACAAGTTGACAAGTTCTGATACCCAGTTCACGACAAGTTCAGTAATGCGAATAACAAGTTTAGCAAGGCGAATAACAACTTCTGATAAGCAATTCATAGAAATTCGAGTTTCTCTGTTAAAATGACAGCATTTTCAGATTTCTTTAGCAGATGACAAGTTCTGATACACAATTCATGACAAGTTCAGTAAGGCGAATGACAAGTTTAGTAAGGCGAATGACAACTTCTGATAAGCAATTCATAGAAATTTGAGTTTCTGTGTTAAAATGACAGGTTCCCAGTAGGTTTTCATACTTTTTCCTGTTAAAATGACTGGATTTCCACATTGATTTATCAAATGACAGGTTTATAATAGAAAATAACAAGTTTTCATAAGATTTTTATGCTTTTTTTTTACTGGAATTACAATTTGCACATTTCTGACAGCAACAACTTCTGATAAATACGAAATGACAAGTTCAGAATGAAAAATGACAAGTTAAGTATAGCAAATGACAAGTTCCCATAATGTTTTCATACATTTTCATACTTTTTCTGCTAAAATTACAATTTGCACATGTCTGACAGCACCCACTTCTGATAATTGCAAACAAGCTCTAAATTGTGAAAATCAAGTATGATGATTGTATTTCGGTGGGAAAAATCGATCAAGGTGTGGCATGTGAGGAACAAACGAGCCCTAAATACAGTGCTAAACGAATAAAGTTCTCGCTTTATATGTAGAATTTGATGGTTTCTTGTTCATATGATATGGCAATTTATATTTGGGATTTCATGGTTGAGGATGCACTTGTGAGTGGATATGATCATCGTAGTGCATTTGCCACTGGTGTTGATATGAGCATGCTTCTTGAGGGGCTTATGAGAGTTCTGGTGCTATAGTTTTATACATTAGGAGGAAATGAAAGGTGAAGTTGATGATGAAAGATGTTAATCAGAAGTGGCTGCTGTAAGAAATCTGAACATTGTTATTTCAGTAGAGAAATTTACATTTGTATGAAAACGTGATGGGAACTTGTCATTTTACATACTTAATTTGTCATTCGCTATTGTGGACTTGTCATTTATTGTTTATCAAAAGTGATTGCTATCAGCAATGTGCAAATTGTAATCCCACCAGAAAAAGTATGAAAATGTATGAAAACATTATGGGAATTTGTCACTTGCCATACTTAACTTGTCATTTTCCATTATGAACTTGTCATTTCGTGTTTATCAGAAGTTGTTGCTGTCAGAAATGTGCAAATTGTAATTCCAGCAAAAAAAAAAGCATAAAAATCTTATGAAAACTTGTTATTTTCTATTATAAACCTGTCATTTGATAAATCAATGTGGAAATCCAGTCATTTTAACAGGAAAAAGTATGAAAACCTACTGGGAACCTGTCATTTTAACACAGAAACTCAAATTTCTATGAATTGCTTATCAGAAGTTGTCATTCGCCTTACTAAACTTGTCATTCGCCTTACTGAACTTGTCATGAATTGTGTATCAGAACTTGTCATCTGCTAAAGAAATCTGAAAATGCTGTCATTTTAACAGAGAAACTCGAATTTCTATGAATTGCTTATCAGAAGTTGTTATTCGCCTTGCTAAACTTGTTATTCGCATTACTGAACTTGTTATGAACTGGGTATCAGAACTTGTCAACTTGTTATTTTCAACAACTTATCAAACTCGTTATTTTCAATTACGAACACAAGCTGAAAATCAAAATAGAAATGAAGAATAAAAATCCAGATTTATTGGGCGTTGTCTCAGCACCAAGCAATCACCGCACACATTGCAAGCAAACATTACAAGCATTACAAATGACTGTCACTCTCCCTCAAACTCCCGACTCTCCTCTCCTTCCACAGCAACAGAGAGAATGATGGAAGAGGCTTCATTGTTGACGAAAGAGCAGGTAAGCAAGATAAGAAGAAAGTGACGGGGATGACAATGAGGAGAGGACCACCGAAAGACATTGGGAGTTCCATATACTTTGGGAAAAGAGTGAGGAGAGGGAAGGAAACTTGGAGAGGAAAGAGAGAACGAAGAGTGAGAGGAAAATGAGGAGGCAAGGTCGGGAAGAAGATGATCTGGAGAGGAAGAAAGAGAGAAAAGCAGAGGGCATTTTGGACATTCTACTATCATTTCATATTTGCAATTTGGGACCGGGTCCTTTGAAGCTATTTTACAAATTCAGGGTCCCTGATAGCTATTTTATATATTGGAGGGTCTTTATTTGCAATTTCCCCATCTGAATTTATATTTGAAGATTATAATTAAACAATAACTAAAATTCCATTTTGGTCCCCCAAGATGACTCCTGTATCAAATAACTTCCTTGACAACTTTTTGTTTCGCTTTGCTGCTCCGATAGGTTGACTTTATTTCATTCTTTGTTCTGCAGAACCATTTACCCAGAACTTCAAAAAGATAATGTTAGAACAATTATTAATACCATTTTCAGTCCTTAAAATTTAACTTAATTTTTTATTTTGGTACTTAAAATTTGAAATATGGTTTTAGCTTTTGAAACTTTATGCCGAACCAAAAATCTCTAGACAAACCAAAATAAAGTCAAATTTTAGGGAACAAAATGATTGGTTTTAAATTTTATTAACCAAAATTACAGATATCAAATTTCAAAGACTAAAGATGATAACTCTTGGAACAAATATTACACGCAGGAATGGCCCATTCGTAAAAGGAGCAGAAAGATAGATGTGTATAGGATTTGCTCTCTGTTTTAGTTTCTGATGGATCACAAAGGCAACCACAGGCGTAATTAAAGTATGAGTTTACGTAAATTAACTAAAGTGTATCTTAATATCCTTCAGCAATATGAATTAAAAATTTGAAGTAAATGCCTCACTACCCATCGTATAATCATCCTAGAAAATTTTTCTTTGTTCTGTGATGTCTCTGCTCATGCAAATGTCTCTGCTCATGCAATGTTATGCTGGCACTATTTAATTGTCGTAGAAAGGAATTTGACAATTCATCAGCTTTAATTGGTAAATTGACGAGGAAGTTGCAGAACTTAATCAGGGGTCCTTGCAATAATAAAACTGCAAGGGAAGCGGTAAATCCGAAAAAGAACTTTATTGGGCTTGAAAATGCCAATTTTTTTTTTTGTAATATTGCTTTAGTCGCTAAAATTGGTTGGAGAATTTTGCAGGAACTGATCAGCTTTGAGTGAGAATATTGAAGGCAATAGCGAAAGATTTGGTAAGTTCTATTGAAGTGCCCAGACCTGGACCTTTTAATGGAGTTTTCCAACAGCCCTGCAGTCTAATATGAAAGTTCAAGGTGCCTCAGAAAATTGAGCTTTTCCTCCAGAGAATTCTTACAAATGCAATCCCAACATTCTAATTTCTCGAGAAAAGAGGAAGTAATGTCAAAGATGTAATGTTCAGTTTGCAATAACATCGCTGAAACTTATGAGCATCTTTTGTTTCCGTGAGATTATAAGTTGGGTTAAAATTAATGGAAATTGTTCATTTGTAGCTGCTAAAAATTGCAAAGTCGATGGAAGAATGTTCGGCTATGGATTTTACTAATCTTCATCTAAGATAGATCCCTTTGCAAACTTTATTGGATTCAGAATTTCAAATTGAGCGTGAGTTTGTGATAATGGATGATTGTTTTCTTAGTACCGTTTTATTTAGTATTTTCTTTGTCTCTTGTTTTTTCGATAGTGCTTTATGCGTTGGACTTGTGTTTCTACTTTCTACCGTTTCAATGATGCCCTATTTTTTATTTGCAAAAAAGTAAGTATTGCATGTGGCTCTGAGCTGGTTAGTGGCTAGCATTATGAATTCTTGCCCCTCTTTTATTTATTTCAACATCTTCATGTTAGAGGACAAGGAATAAGGGGCAGCAAACGACAAAAAGAAAAGAGAGTTGAAATTAAAAAATAAGGGGAAAAAAGGGGCAAAAGAAAAAGTTATAGATGATATTGAAAATGTACATTTCTTTTGAGTTCGAATTCGAAAAGTACATTCTTCAATATAGTTTTTTAAAAGGGGCCAAAAAAAAAAAGTTCACTCTCCATGAAGCTGTCGATCTAAGTCAAGTCAACAATTACCGAAAGAAACTACTTTATTAATAAAAAATATTTATTAGTAATTATAATGAGAGTGCCAATAGTCATATTCTCTTCCCTGTTCTGCAGATGGCTTTAAATAATTGTTTTATCATTTTTTGGTGTGAAAATGAATAAAAAAGAGAATTTAAATAAAAAAAATGAAGGGAAAAGGGGGACAAAAGAAAAAGTTGTAAATGATATTGAAAAAGTACATTTCTGGATATGATGCACTAAACAGAAAAAAAATTAACGATAATTAAATTAAGCAGTGTAATCATTCTGCCAGGGCAATCATGACCAATTTACCATCACCTCTAATTTGCTTTTTCCTCGTGGAGCGTCTTTTTCTACGGTCAGTCTTTTATCATCATGTATTTTTTCTTTCGTTGTTCCAATAAATAGAAAGAAAGATAATAAAACTATTGATCCCCCAAATTTGGGTTAATTATGAGGTCGCTTTCTCTCGTAGCTGGCATCTATTATATGTTGTGAAAAATGTGACCCCTTGAAGGGTTTTATTGCGCTGCTGTCTGATTCCGTCAATAAGCCATGGCGGCGGCTGCTGCTTCTTCTTCGTCTAATTCTTCCTGGACTTACCATGTGTACTTGAGTTTCAACGGCGAAGACACTCGTCGCGGTTTTACTTCTCATCTTTATAACGCTCTGAAGCAGAAAGGAATCCATGCTTTCATGGACGATACAGATATTGAAAAGGGAGATGATATCTCTGGTGAATCATTTTTGCGGGCAATTGAAGCATCACAAATTGTGTTAGTAATTTTCTCTCCTGCGTATGCTTCTTCCCAAGATTGTCTGGATGAGCTGGTGAAGATAATGGAGTGTCAAAGAAGGCTACCTCAGTTAGTTATCCCCATATTCTATTACGTAGATTGGTCCGAAGTTCGTCGTCAACGAGGCAGATATGGTGAAGCAATCGAGCAACACGAAAAAAGATTGGGAAGCGAGAGTGATGGGGTGATGCGGTGGAGGGAGGCACTCACCGCAGCTTCCGGCATTACCGGCTTTAGTTCTTCAGCATATCGGTAACATTCCCATACGGTCTCAAGAACTAGCCAAGTGAAATCTTCCCCAAATGCTCATTACAAACTAATTGGATTAACCGCTTTCTATTTCATAAATAATTCTATACTTTCTGGAACTATTTGGACATTTTTGCTCGCATAAATTCTTCATTTCTGTAACTCTTTGGAGACATGTTTACTTGGGACACGCTACTCGTTGCTTTGATATGGTCTTTTTTTGGGTTCATCCTAATTCAGCCTCGTCCTTCATGCTTGTGCTTGGGTATTTTTGAAAAATTGCCTTTTAGATCACTAAACTGCCTTTTTTTTTTTTTCAAGTTACAAGGCCAGCCCTGGCTTGAGAAGAAAGAAAGACTAGGACTAACTCCTAGTAAACACAATAACACCTAGCTAGCGTAATTGAAGATTCCTTAATTTGTTTTCCAAGAACATTCCTAAGAAACCGTTTGGCACAATCAGTATCAACACCATCTCAGTTGAGGCATGATGCCCCTTGTGAGCTAAAAAATCAGCACATCTGATCTAATAAGATCTCATCAGTTGCTATGATGCAATTCCATCCGGTTGTCTTATTGGCGTCCCCACGCCCAGGTCATCGTCTCATCTTTCCCCATTTCCCCTGCCATCAGAAGCGCGAGCTTCCTTCTTCGCGTCCATGCTCAAATCGGCGCCATCAGGGGTGTCTTCTTGTAGCTCAGTGCATGAAATGATTTCTTGAAAGTGGTAACTCATGCACGAGTTGGATACCATTTGTAACATCATGCTGCCAATACTTGCTCCTTAATTAGTCAAAAAATAATATACATATTTAATATGCAAATAGTCCATCTCTTATTCTTAATGGTCCAATAAAATTCTTATGTTTTAAAACAAGTTTGTAGGTTTATTTCTAATAATTATTCTTATTATTGTTTCACGGATGTTTAATATTGACAGGTCTGAAAGTGAGCTGGTTGAGAGAATTGTTGAGAGTGTTTTAAGAATGTTAGACATTGAAGAATTGTTTGTCGGTGAACATCCAGTGAGAATAGAGTCACAAGTTAATGAACTAAAAGTTGATGAATGGTTCAATTACGATGTGTTCTTGAATTTTAGAGGCGAAGACACTCGTCGCGGTTTCACTTCTTACCTTTATAACACTCTAAGACAGTCAGGAATCCACGCTTTCATGGACGATTCAGGGCTCGAAAGGGGAGAAGAGCTCTCTAGCTCATTAGTGCAAGCAATTGAAAGATCACAAATTGCTTTGGTAATTTTTTCTCCAGACTATGCTTCTTCCCGGTGGTGTCTGGATGAACTGGTGAAGATAATGGAGTGTAAAAAAGGTCTGGCTCAGGTGGTTATCCCTATCTTCTATGAAGTAGATCCGTCTGATGTTCGTCATCAACGAGACAGATATGGTAAAGCAATTGAACAACACGAAGAAAGATTGGGAAGCAAGGGTGATGGGGTGATGCGGTGGAGGGAGGCACTCACGGCAGCTGCCAACATTTCCGGCTTTAGTTCTTCAGCATATCGGTAACATTCTAATTAAACCAACTCTCATTTGGGCCAAAAAAAAAAAAAGAATTCTGTGCACGCACAATTTTTTTTTTACCATCCGTCTGATGTTCGTCATCAACGAGACAGATATGGTAAAGCAATTGAACAACACGAAGAAAGATTGGGAAGCGAGGGTGATGGGGTGATGCGGTGGAGGGAGGCACTCACGGCAGCTGCCAACATTTCCGGCTTTAGTTCTTCAGCATATCGGTAACATTCTAATTAAACCAACTCTCATTTGGGCCAAAAAAAAAAAAAAGAATTCTGTGCATGCTCAATTTTTTTTATTTTACCAGCAGTGCATGCACAAGATTTCATGAATATATAATAAAGACATAATATAAAACCCTAACAAATCATGCTATCTATTTATAAAATATAAATTATAAATAATATGACTCATTTTTCATATTCTCAAATATTAATATTAATTTGTTCATAATTTGACATGCTATAAATTATAAATTGATGATGAGATCATATCAATTTTTTTATTAATATATTAGGATGTTTCAATTTTTAACACAATGTTTACATAATATATATATATATATATATTTCATTTGAGCTTATCCAACAAGATCTTATAAGATATGAAACCAGTTTTATTTTTTGTCTTGACAAAGAGTTTAATTGATATCAGTTTTGATAATATTCATTGAGCAAAAAAAATTAATACGTGATATGCTGATCCTATGAATAAGGATCTTGGTGAAAAATAAAATTTCAAAATATGGGCAATTTTAGTTTTATTTTTTTAATGTTTTAAAATTTATATTTTTGCTATTTTGTTTTAATTTCTAAATAATTACAATCTTATAAACCTCTCCAATAAATATTATTCTCTTTGGGTCTTTCTAGCTAGTTTTCTCTTAATATTTTGTCATTAAGATATTATTATTATTATTATTATTATTATTATTATTATTATTATTATTATTTGGTTTCAGAAAGTAATAGAACATAACAGGGTGTCTCTGGATGTTGTTGGATTGAAGCTATGCGATACAAAACTGATTTTTATGTGATTGAATTGATTCATCTTGTTTGTTAAAGCATCTTAAAGCTGATTTTATTATTGATTTTACTGGTAGTAGTTATTATGCAGGATTGGAAATGTTACCTTCGTTAATTAATTTGTGAATATTAAAAAAATTAGTCAAATTTTTTAGGGAAAATGACAGATAAAGAAGTTTGAAAATGTGAAATGCCAATTTGGAAAGCTAAGGAAATGTAATTACAGATAGGGAAGTCCTTCCCAAATTGGAATTTTGAAATTCAGTAAAATGACAAAAATGCCCTTTGTCTATTTTTTTTTAAATCCCAGCCCCTCACCGGTGGATGGCGATCGGTAGCCACCGTCGGCGATTGGCCTCTAGCGGCCGCCGACCGCCTCTGGCCACCGGCACCGGCCACTAGTGTGGTGGCTGCTGGTGAAGGATTTTTGTAACAGCATTTTTTTTTTGAATGGGATAATATGGTTCAAAGTGACAGGGTGGGATTTGATCCCACAACCCCTTGGTCACTTGGGCCAACAAAAGGGAAGATGGCCATTGGGCCATCAAAGATTTCTTAATCTTATAATGCAAACAAAAATATAAGTTAACTCTTTTACTGTGACTCCAGCGCGTGACAATAATTTATCTGAGGATGACAAGTCTTAATTGAGAAATAACAAGTTTAAATTTGATATTAACAAAACAACTTTTTCTTATACATAACAGGTAGCAGCATATACATTAACTAAAAATGACCATAATTGATTTAAAAACGACACGTCTTTACTGAAAAATGACAAGTCTAAACTTGATACTAACAAGGCAACTTTTTCTTATACATAACAAGAAATAGCATGTACGTTAATTAAAAATGACCATAATTTATTTGAAAATAACATGTCTTTACTAGAAACAAGTGTTTAGAAGAAAACATTTTCTCTCTGGTGGCTTGTCATTGGTGGCTTCTGATGTGTTTGTTTTAGGTTTTCTCTCTGTTCCTATCATGAAACAAGTGTTTAGAAGAAAACATTTTCTCATTACTTTGTATTATTGAAAATAAATTCTCTTATTAATATTTTTATTATTTAAGGTGTACTAATAATTATTTTCTTCGGCCCCCAATTTTGTTTAATACAAGCAATTATAAACATTTTGAAAACAAGTTTCATACACAAAACAACGATAAAATTTATCTCTTTCATATTTTGAAATTTATATCAACAAACTTGCATTCACATATTTATTTCTAGTGTTTAATAGATTTTAATCATCAAAGTATGGCTCTCTCATCGTGAGAAATTAATTCTGATTCAATATTTATCTACATACATGCTTTTAGTAATAAATTGTACATATTAGACTACATTTGCTTGCCTAGTTAATTGTGATTCAGGTAATATAAATGAACCTACTCCTTCATCTTTATTTTAGAGTGGATCACCTACTTGTTGGATAATTGTAGCAGTGGTTATATATAACTGTATCGGTGGTTATGGCAAAGTTGATTTTAAGATAACTTTGATTTATTCTTTTGTTATATATAAAATTTGCTCCACAAAATTTATGAACATGTGGTCCACTTTCTTATTTGTATATTTATGTATAAATAAAGAGAAAGGGTCTCATTATGTGAAAAAAGAATTGGTCGATTGATTGTTGTAAATATATATGCTACCGAAGTCCAGCGTTTAGTTAAAGAGATCTATGCTATATCTTAATATAAAGGTTGATGAATGAGTATATTATAATGCCAACTGATATTATATTAATGAAGTAGATCTTACCGGTTGTATGCAGAAAATATCTAATCAACTAAACTTATGAAGTGAGATCACTCTATAACTCGTGCCGATAACGTTGTTGTGTGGTTGGGCGTGACAAAAAACTGAGCAATGTTAACACAGCTACAACAACCTGCATGTGCCATTGGCCTTCTTTTGAAGCCTTCTCCTATTCCGTTCCAGCAATTAATGGCCACTCATTCATCCACTACTTGAAAATTTTCCTCTGATGCATATAAATATTAGTAGCTAAATTGGTCCATCTCTTATTTTTAATGGTCCACTAAAATTCTTCTTTTTAAAAAATAAGTCTTGCTGTTTTTGTTTATGATAATGATATCACGGTATCTATGTGGCTAATTATATTGTTTCATTGATATTTAATATTCACAGGTCGGATAGTGAGATGATTCAGGCTATTGTTGAGAATGTTTCAAAAAGAGTAGACACTGGACAATTGGTTGTCGCTGAGCATCCGGTGGGAATAGAGTCACGAGTTCATGAATTGACAATTGAATGGTCACAAAAGAGATCCGAAAAACATCTTATCGTAGGCCTCTGGGGGATGGGAGGTGTGGGCAAAACAACTATTGCCAGAGCCATTTACAATACAATTGGCCGTAAGTTTAGAGCAAGAAGTTTTCTTGAAAATATAAGAGAAAAATCAGAACATACTAATGGCCAAATTAATTTGCAAAAGCAACTCATTTATGATATCATTAAAAATGAAGTTTTCAACATACCTGACATTAATAGAGGGAAAAAAATAATTCAAAAAAGATTTCCCAAAATAAAAGCATTTGTTGTATTGGATGATGTGGATAGTGTGGATCAACTAAAAGCATCATGTGGGAGTCTTGAATGGTTTTGTCCTGGGAGTGTGATATTCATAACAACTAGAGATCTCCGTTTACTTGATGCCATAAATGCTGACCATAAGTATCCAATGAGAGAAATGAATGGAATGGAGCCTCTGATGCTTTTCAGTTGGCACGCTTTTAAGCAAGCAAATCCTTCTGAAAGCTTCGTGGAATTATCTAAAGAGGTAGTTGATTATTGTGATGGACTTCCACTGGCTCTTGAAATCCTTGGTTCTTGTCTACGTGGAAGAACAATTGAACAATGGAATAATGCATTGTCCAAACTACATAGCATTCCTCATAAAGATTTACAAAAAAAGTTAAAAATAAGCTATGATGGATTGGATGATGACACACAGAGGGATATTTTTCTTGACATATGTTGCTTCTTTATCAAAAAGGACAGGAACTATGTTACACAGATTTTAGATGATTGTAAGCTTCATGCAAAAGATGGACTACAAATCCTCATAGAGCGAAGCCTTGTAAAAGTTGGGAGGAATAATAAGCTTGAAATGCATGATTTATTGCAAGAGATGGGGAAAGAAATTGTCCGTGAAAGCTCACCTAGAGATCCTAAGAAACGTAGTAGATTGTGGTTTGATGAAGATGTACTTGAAGTGTTAACACAACATATAGTAAGAATTTTCTTGATATACTATTTTCTTTTAATTTCCAAGTTTTGACATCAGGGAATATGCATTATATATTCTTTTCTAAAATATAATTATGATTTTCCTTTTTCATTGCTGCATTATATAATTCATAGCCTTTGTTATAGAAATCTTGTACATGAGAAGCAAGATATAAAGTTATAGACGTCTTATTTGTTAATTGGCTTTCTCTCAAAATTTATCAAATGTTTTCCTTGCTTATAACATTTTCCCCCCTACATATTTATAGGGAACCGAAGTTATTCAGGGTATATCTCTAAAGGCATCAGAAACCAGGAGAGAGCATCTCATTGATTCTGAGGCATTTAAGAAGATGACAGAACTTAGATTGCTCCAACTAGATTATGTAAATCTTAAAGGAGATTACAACCATCTTTCCAAAAAGCTCAGGTGGCTTTGTTGGCATGGATTTCCACTAAAATACACTCCAGATAACTTTTACCAAAAAAAATTAGTTGCTATTGACTTCAGATATAGCAACCTCAAAGTAGTTTGGATAAAGCCCCAGGTATTTATATTTGTTGTCATTACAATCGATATCATTGATAATATAATTTTTCTAGTATGAAATTTCTAATTCTTCATTTGAAACCTGTATTTTTTGTAGAAGTTGTCAATGTTGAAGACACTCCATCTCAGTCATTCTCCTTACTTGACACAAACTCCTGATTTTTCATACCTACCAAACCTTGAAAGGCTTGTGATGAAAGATTGTCGGAGCTTGATTTTAATTCACAAGAGCATTGGAGATCTTAAAAATCTTCTTCATGTGAATCTAAAAGATTGTAAGAGCCTCAAAGATCTTCCTAGAAGCATCTACAAGTTGAAATCTGTAAAAACTCTCATTCTTTCTGGCTGTTTTTTGATTGACCATCTAGAAGAAGATATTGAGCAGATGGAGTCCTTGACAACTCTTATGGCAGATAACACTGGCATAATAAAAGTACCCTTTTCATTAGCAAGATTGGAAGGGCTTAAGCATGGATATGTTTCTTTCCCTGGCCATGAAGGAAGAGCACAAGATATATTTCCTTCTCTCATATGGTCTTGGATGTCACCTGACAATATTCCCCACTCCCGTATTGAAGAATTTGTGCAAAGCATATCATCTATAGATATCTCAGTTAGACAGGATAGTGGCTTTTGTGGCCTATCTCCATTTCTGGGCGATCTTGTGAAGCTCCGAGGTATGTGGGAGCAATGTCGATCAAGGTTTCGATTTAATGAAAGAATGGCAAGACTTTTGGATGCCTTGTATGAGACAAATTTTGTAGGATTTGAATCAACTCGAGATATACCCCAGATCTCACATATGGAAGCTTCTCCGTCATGTGAGGTCCATGACCAAGTTCACATTGCAAGGCCAGCAGATTCCTTGAAATCTCTTTTAATTCAACTTGGAGTGTTAGACAAAGCAAACGTGTTGAAAGAGGAAATTTCTCAGGTTTGTCTCTTTTTTGTTTTTAAACTAATACAATATAATCCCTCTTTATCGATTTTATTCACCGAACTCATACAAGCAAATTCAAGTGAAATTAATCCAAAACAGATGCAACCAAGTCTTATTAAGCACCATAAACTTCACAATAACCTATGAAATGCTATTATGAAATGGAGGTTTGTCATAAACCCCATGAGCTTTGTGAAATTACCAACTATAGCTAGTGCGTGTTTCATGCGCTAATATAAGGATGAAAAGGCTCTACTAAATGTTTCTGATCCTCACTTTCTTTCCTTTTTTGGCTTCATTATTATTTGATTCCTGTGTTGATGCAAATAGGGATGGAAGTATGGTGGGTGGGATGATTCTCAACTGCCTGGTGACCAGTATCCCGACTGGTTCATCTTCAAGGGTGAAGGACGGTCGGTAATTTTGAAGGTGCCTCAAGTCATAGGTTGCCGCTTGAAAGCAATACTTCTCAATGTTGTGTATTGTTCTTGCATGGATAACACAATGCCTCAACTTCTCATGAGTGTTCTGATCATCAATCACACGAAGGCTACTGTTAATCAGCTCAAGGGAGACTCGGCAACTTTCCATGAAGATGGAGAATGGCACAGTATCATTTCAAGTTTTCAACCTGGTGATTGGGTTGAGCTTGTTTTAAGTATTGGGCCTCAATTTCCTGTGAAGATGATTGCAGCATACCTGATTTATGATGGTTCTAAGCCTCGCAGGTTATTGAAATCATCATTATCGCAAAAACTGATTTGGGCTTGCCATATAGCCCCGGTACTTCTGATATGCGCTGCAATTTTTAGAAAGGGAAAATGACAACTAAAACCTCTTTTTAAGCAAGATAATGATAGCAAAGGGCCCCAAAATTTAAGTCTGCCAATCCCCAGCCGTTTCAATTCTAGATTATTACAAGTCAGCTGGAGCATTTTGGTCCATAGAATTTTCCAAATCAATGAATGACCTTGCTCTTTAATAGGCATTTTCAAGGTTTAGGGTCATTAGTTGTTATTATATATCTTACTAAAATTGACCCTAGCTGTCATTTTCCCTTTTAAAATCTATCACGATATGCTGGACAGTGTGTGAACTGTGTTTGATGTCTGTATCTGAAGAGTCTTAGACGGGTGAATTGGACTTTCAAAACATTGTTATTGTTTTTAAATATCATTTGAATGTTAAAGGCTTTCCTTTTCGACAATGTGATCTCAAGATCAACTGTGTTTTTTTCCCTCTGACAGATCAACTCTCTTAATACAGTGTGAATGTTGGAAGTCCAGATTTTTCAATTTCCTTTTTTTGTTTTTTGGGGCCATAACAGAGTCAATTTCGAGAAACGTGTTTTGAACAACGCTTATCATCTTCAAAACAGGTTTTCCAGAAAAGCACAGTAGAATAAGAAACCTTGACCTTGGACCACAAATTCCAAATTAGTTTGAAAAGCACTTATCATTTTGAAAAAACTTATCATCTTCAGGATGACAAGCACGGTTCAATTAATAATGCAAATGTAATTTCTTATGCTAAACTGTGAAACAGCTGACAGCCGGATCACGGTATGACATTATTTACATTAATCAAAGTGTATCTTAATATCCTTCAGCAATGTAAATTAAAAATTTGAAGTAAATGCCTCACTACCCATCATATAAGTCTCCTAGTAAATTTTTCTCTTTGTTCTCTGATCGTGCAATGTTATGCGGGCACGATGCAATAAGCTTTGGCAGCAGGAAGCACTTTATTGGGCTGAAATTACCAATTTTTTTTCCCCTTCATATGACTACACTACAGAGGAGATGTCAAAATAAGTTTGTGAAGTTGAAGGCTGATGATGATAACTGGTTGGAGACAGAAGGGTTTTGCAAAGGCTTTTGAGGAATTTTAATGGAAGACTCTTCAACTCATCAAGTAGCAGAGATTTTTCAGAAGTTTTGGAAGGTGTGGATCAAAGCTGATGTTCATGAACGGGGAGGAACTCAGTTTCTTTTCAGATGGTTTTAACGTGAATTCAATTAATGATATTGATATGATGCTGATCCCAAAAGTGAAAAATCCCGTCAGGGTTAATGAGTTTTGATACATAAGCTTGCACAATTTCTCTCATAAAATCATTTCAAAAGTTATGACGAATAGGTCTAATCAGTGGTTATAATCAAGATAATATTATTGGTGTGCATGAAACTTTCCATTATTTGTGCAATAAGAGTGGTCTTCTAGAATTGGCTTTTGATCTTAGACATGAAGAAAGCCTATTATATTGTAGACTGTGAATGGGATTTCTTGTACCATATTCTGCTTAAAATCCGATTTGATGAGAAGTGGGCAGATGGACTTGTTTGGTACTTAAATTCTGTGAACATCAGTATAATGCTATCTGGTAACAGAGTATTGTGTTAATCCAAAAAGGGGTTTATGACAAGTAATCCATTTTCTCCGTACTTATTCCTTATATTTAGCTATATGCTTTCCTATGATGGACACAAAAGAGAGGATGATGACATCAGGGGAATTAAACTAGCGGGAAGATGCCCAGGTTTAACTCACTATTCATTTGCAGATGACTCTGTCTTTTGTCCCCAAGCTAAGATTGATGGCTGCTGTAATTTGAAACATATTTTTGATAACTACTATTAGGCTTCGGGCCAATTAATTAACGTGAATACGTTCTGTTTTTTTTTTTTTTTTTTTATACTGGATTTTGCCAAAAGAAGGAATTCATCAGCAGACTTTTGGAATTGATTTGGTGGATGCTCTGAGAAGCTCTGTGGGATTATAAGAACAAAAAAAGAACCAAAAAAAGAAAGAAAGCAATACATCTGGCTCTGGGCTTTCGCCTCTCTATCATTTATTTCAACATTTCGTGTTGGAGGAAAAGGAAAAGGAAAAATTGGCTAAAAATTGAATGGTAATTGTATATCATTTGCATGTAACGAATATTCAATTGCATATGTAATTAGTATCAGTAACATCAATATTACGCAATAACATAAGACCCATATGCAAGTAAGCATCTCTCATATACAAGTAAACATCCATCATATGTAATTAACATCGCTATTAAGCAATAACGTGCAATAAATATCCATATGCAAGTAGAGATCTATTATGTGCAAATGAATATCTGTCCATGCAAGTGAGTATTCGTATTACACAATAAATTATATGCAAGTGAGCATCCTTATTACATAATAAACTTATAAACAACTAGGGATCCCTCATGTGCAAGTAAACATCCATTATATCTAAGTGAGTATCCATTATATACAATTAGCATTCATGTTACACAATAAACTTATCTGCAAGTAGGTATCTATCAAATGCAACAAGTCATACATAAATGAACATTTGTCATATACAAGTGAGAAGATGTTATGTACAAGTGAGGATTCATTATATGCACTTAGTATCTATTACGATAATATGGTTTTTTTTTTCCCTATCACACTCACATTTGAGAAATACACATCTTCATATTTATTACAGGTCTTATTTCCCAATTAATTTGTGAAATGAAGATTTTTCACCAATTTTCCTCAAAGGAAAATGGGGCACAAAACGACAAGAAAAAAAGAGAATTGAAATTGAAAAAAAAAAAAACAGAAAAAAGGGGCAAAATGTTGTAGATGATCTTTAAAATGTACATCCCCTCTAATTTGCTTTTTCCTCGTGGAGCGTTTTTTTCTACGGCAAGTCTTTTATCATTATGCGTATTTTCTTTCGTTTTTTTAATACCACGTCAAATTCTTTATATTTATTATATCAAATTTTTTAATTACATATGACTATATGTCTTACTATTTTAATTAGATTAATGATTAAATGATAATATTTTAAAACGATGATGGAAAAATTTAACATAGATATATAATTTGATATAAGTATTGTCCTATATATTATCATAAAAGAAAAGGCAATAAAACTTATGATCCCTCACATTGGGTTAATTATAATTTTGGTCCTCAACGATTAATATTCATCAATCAAAATTTTCAGGTTTCTTCGTCAACAAAATATATAATATCAAGGCCTATTTGGATAACATAAAAACCATGGTTTGGGTCCTAACTTGCCAAACACCCAGAAAAAAACAGAAACCATGGTTTTGGATCAAAACCATGGTTTGAGCTCAAAACCATGGTTTCAGAAGAAGTGAATCCATTTTGCTTCTGGCTCAAATGGGAGAGTATGATTATGCCTGTAGAGCAGATCTCAACGATAATATGATTTTAACATTCCTCAATTATTTTTTTATAAACATATTTAATCTTATATTTTATAAATATATATACATATTAATTATATTATTTTATATATTATTAATTATGTTGGTAAAAAAATATATTATTAACAATTTTATTTTTTCAAATTAAAATATATTATAAAATCTATCTTTTATGTAATTATCATATTAACTTATGCTTTTTTAGGTAAAATTTGTACATATAAAAAGTTCTTCTGATAACAACTATCCAAACACTCTCATTCATTAGAATCACTTCTTCACAAAATCTATTTTTTCCAGAATCTATTCTCCAGAAGCTATTCTCCAAACCATGGTTTGGTTTCATCCAAACACTCCTAGAAACTATTCTCCAAACCATGGTTTCATTCAACCATAGGACAGCCAAGTGGATGATGCTCACTCTCACTTTATGAGAAGGGAATCTGGAGAATTTTAATAAACCCTTCAGTAGCAGTAGCCCCTAAAAAAATTCTAAATTCTGAAGTTTCACCACGATCCTTGAGTGAGAAGACAAATATACCATCACTTTAATTAATTTGCAAATCGCCCAAATCTCCAAATTCTTATTGTAAATAGTCGAAATCGAGTTGTAAATCTTTAAAAATTTTATGTGTGAATGACCGACTCAGGTTTGGCAATTTATAATAAGAATTCAGCCATTTACAACTCATAAAGTAAGGATATTTTTCTCTTCTCACACAGAAAATTTTAGTCAAAGGGGTGTGATGAAATTTCAGAATTTTTTTTAAGGTTGACTGATATTAATGGGCTACTGAAGGGGGTGACTGAAATTTTCCCACCATTTGAATTTTTTAATATCATTTTCCATTTTTGTTCTTTTAATTATAAAATTTATATCCTTTTTTATAATCATGCATCTATAAAAGATTTTAATAAATGAAATTCAAATATCATCAAATTTCTCAAAGTCACTTATTAAAAGAGTAATCCAACTCAAAATTTTGATTAACCAACATCACTTCTAATTAATATTACTTATAAAAGGTAAAAAGCCGCAAATCACATTTTTGTTCAACATCATCCAAACGGGTACACTCTCGTTTCATAAACAAGGATGCTTTTTAAAAATAAATTATATTTTCTTATATATTTATTACCTGTAATCAATTTTAACTATTTTTTATTTGCATAATTTAATTATTTGTATTTCATAAAAGAAGATTGGATATAGTATAATAGAACTAACTTAAAAAGGAAAAAAAATCATAACTAAATTATAATTAACTGACTCCAGGCCCCAAAAAAAATCATAACTGACTGACTTGATTTCCTTGGGGAAAATTAATCTGGTAGTTCTTATATAGTTTCTTTTGATCTTGAATCAGCCTTAAATTTTTTTATTGAGTCTTTTGACTACTCTTCGCGGCGTTGGATATGAACAGCGAAAGGAGAAGAAAACACAATAAAGAAATGAATCAAAGATAAGAAGTAAAATGATTTAGATGATCCGTCTTTGAACAATCAAGGTAAAAGTGAACACGATCAGCACCGTAGAGACAAAGGGAACTGAGAATTGAGACAATACCATGCGCGAAACAAACAAGACGATTGTAGAGACCTATAGTGATAGTGGAATAAGACAGATGTATAGTGATTATCCAGCCAGTAATCTAATGGAAATTTTTTCAACTCAGTTAATCCTTATTATTTATTGGCAAGAACTGATGAATCTGTCGGCAGAAAGCTAAATTATCTAAAAAAAAAAACTTTAAAAAACTATAAGGACGTCAGATTAATTTTTCTTTTCTTTCAAGCCTGGCATTTTGTAATAGAGTATTCGAACTTGGGTGGCTAATAATAAATGAATTTATTATAAACCTGGCCACTTTTTCGTAGATACCAGCCTAAACAAAGACTATTTATATTCCCTACATTTTTTTATAAGACACAAATAATAGAATTATCTAATTAAAAAAATTAGTTATCTATAAATCAGACGTCAATAATATCGTGTATCTTCTGAACAGACGTCAACAATATAATGTATATATAAATCCGACGGTAGGTAGCTTAAGAGAATATAAAGTGGCAAGCAACTTACAAAAGGAAAAAAAGAGAAAAGAAGCGTGCAACTAAATTATAATTGACTGACTTGTTTCTCTTAACTCTGGCTTTAGTCCTAAAGCATTAATATAAATGGAGCAGTTATGCAGTCACATTCTCGTGGCCGCCATCGATATTCCCCTATATCTTGTGATCCGTTAAGCGTTTTTATCGGCCTCCCTCTGATTCCCTCAATAAACGATGGCTTCTTCTTCTTCTTCTTCTTCAACTTCGTCCACAGCACCAGCATGGACTTACGACGTGTTGTTGAGCTTCAGAGGCGCAGACACTCGTCATGGTTTCACTTCTGATCTTTATAACGCCCTAAGACAGTCAGGAATCCATGCTTTCATGGACCGTCCAGGGATTGAAAGCGGAGACGACATCTACGGTTCATTGTTTCAGGCAATTGAAAGATCACGAATTGCGTTGGTTATTTTCTCTGAAAATTATGCTTCTTCCGGGTGGTGTCTGAATGAGCTGTTGCACATAATGGAGTGTCGAACACGTCTAGCCCAGGTGGTTATACCCATATTCTATGGAGTAGATCCGTCTGATGTTCGTCATCAGACAGGCACATGTGGTGAAGCAATGGAACGACACGAGCAATGGTTCAGAACGATAGGGAATACTGATCGGGTTTTGCGATGGAGGAAGGCACTCAGGGCAGCTGCCAGCCTTGCCGGCTTTCCTTCATCAGAATGTCGGTAATGTGTTCTAAAACAGTTCTCATTTGAAGAAAGAAAAGGAAATGGTGATATATGTATAGGTGAAACTCAATATTTTCCCATACGGCCTCAAGCAGCGCTCCGAGAAATTGGATATAATTGAGAATTCAAAATTAAATTCATACTTTGGTAAAAAGAAAATTAGAGAGAGGAACCTGATGATAATGCTAATATAGTGGGGGGATCATAAAAATTATAATTATTTACAAAAATTGGATATATATTGAGAATTCAAAATTAAATTCATACTTTGGTAAAAAGAATTAGAGAGAGGAACTGATGATAATGCTAATATAATGGGGGGGGATCATAAAAATTATAATTATTTACAAAGACCACATGCTAAAATCTAAATTTTCCTTAATCAAACCTCACACATATTCTCTCCCATATTTTATTATTAAAACTAATACCGATTTTTAAGTTCCACTAAATAGAAAAAAATTCCCCTCGATTTTTACATTTGAATTAGATATGTATTAAAAAAATGCACACATATTACATATATTGTTCAGTTTTATTAACATTAATGATTTTATTTTAAAAATCATTACAAAATTCAATTAAAAATAAAAATTGTATAATTTAGTCGAGACCTTTTATAATTTTTTATATCTTTAGAAAGGCTATATCTGTTGTGAAAATAAAAGTAAAATTTAGGCAATTTTAGAAAATTCAAACGAACTTTGTAGAATTTATTTTTATTTTATAATAAATGTATGTCAGTTTTAAAAAGCTCATGTAATGTTAATGAAATTAAAAACAGCCAAACAATCTATTACTATATTTTTTTATGCAAAAGCTATAGTCAGGATTGCCTTGCCTCCACTGGAGAAGACTTTCAACTAAGAAAAAAAATGTTGTGGAGAAAAATTTCTTGAAAGTTTTCTTATGATGCATGCACATGCTTAGTAGCTAAACTGGTCCCTCTCTTATTCTTAATGGTCCTCTAAAAAGCTGTAGTCAGTATCTTGTTTGCTGGTTTGTTTCTAGCAATGATGCTGGCTAATTATGGTTTCCCGGATGGTTAATTTAATGTTGACATCAGGTCCGAAAGCGAGCTGCTTAAGAAAATTGTTGAGGAAGTTTCAAGAGTATTACCGTTGGTTGAGGAGCATTCAATGAGAATAGAGCCACAAGTTGATGAACCAAAAGTTGATGAATGGTTCAATTATGACGTGTTCTTGAGTTTTAGAGGTGAAGACACTTGTCACGGTTTCACTTCTCATCTTTATAGGGCTCTAAGACAGTCAGGAATCCACGCCTTCATGGACGATTCAGGGCTTGAAAGGGGAGAAGAGGTCTCTGCCTCATTAATGCAAGCAATTGAAAGATCACAAATTGCGTTGCTAATATTTTCTCCAGATTATGCTTCTTCCAGGTGGTGTCTGGATGAACTCGTGAAGATAATGGAGTGTCGACGTCGTCTAGGTCGGGTGGCTATCCCCATATTCTATGAAGTAGATCCGTCTGAAGTTCGAAGTCAACGAGGCAGATATGGTGAAGCAATTGAACGACACGAAGAAAGGTTGGGAAGGGAGAACGATGGAGTGATGTGGTGGAAGGTGATGGAGTGGAGGAGCGTACTCAAGGAAGCTGCCAAGATTTCCGGCTTTAGTTCTTCAGCATATCGGTAATACTCTAATTAAACCAACTCTCATTTAAGAAAAAAAGAAATGATTATTTGTCAAACTCAAAATACATTCCCATGCGGCCTCAAGTGGCGTGTGAAAATTTCCCCAGTTGCTGCAAAATAAGGACCGGATAGTAGTTGTATTAACCCTAAATAATTCTGTTCTCCGACATTTTGCTTGCATAAATAATACAATCACGTGGGTGATGAGAACTTTTAGTTTTATTTTTTTAACAAAAATTCTGAATATAGGAGAGAATGTAATATCTTTGGCTAAAGACAATTTAATATTTTAAAATTTATATTTTGATATTTGCTTCTCCTAAATAATTGCAATTCTTACAAGCTATTTCCCCAATAAATACGATTCTTCCCAAGTCATTCTGGCTAATTTTCTCATAATAATTTGTCATTAAGATTATTGTTGTTGTTGTTGTTGTTGTTGTTATATTAATAAGTTTGAGGAAGCAATAACATATAATAAGGTGTCTGGAAGTTGTTGGAAGGAAGCTTATGCGATACAAAACTGATTTTATGTGATTGATTTAACGCATATTATGGTATTGATTTGAGTTGAGTTGTTCTTTAATGTTAAAAAATTTTCTTGGATATAACTTCCTATTATTATTTATTTTGGTGGAAAGAGTTGGTTTGAATGATTGACTGGGAATGACATTTCAAGCCTAAGTGCATGCTACCTGCTACCTATCATTAGTACTTGAACAATTGATGTTTACTTCTCATGTTTGCATATTTGCTTGAAACATGGTCCTAACATGAAGTTATAATAGAAGTTGATAACTGTCGTAACTGAAATTTGATATGCATATTGATTTTCTTTTGATTGAATTTATGAAAGGAGTTTGGAGATATGGATTATGAAAATTTTGCAAATCTCTTATAAGATTGAATTTTTATAATATACATGAGTAAATTGCATTTATTGAGATAAATGATTTCTTATAGGACTCTGAACCCTTTTATTACAGGAACTAGACACAAAGTGCTTGTCAGTCGTAGCGTGCAGCCCTTGTTATTCATGACCTCGGTGCCATGCTTGTTATTCATGACCTCGGTGCCATGCTTGTTATTCGTGGTCTCCATGCAGCCCTTGCTATTTTAATATTCATGGCATCTGTATGCGTTGTGCTTGTTATTCATGGCACGTGGACTTTTCCTCCGTGGAATTTGTGCTGCGCCTAATATTCATAACGATGTGCTTGTTATTCGTGGCCTTCACGCTGTATTTGTTATTTGTGGCTTTTAAGTTGCATTTGTTATTTGTTTTGTCTTGGTTCCTCTAATGAAACAAATTTTTAGAGAAAAAAATCTTTTCAACATTATTTTGTATTATTGAAAATAAATAATTTTATTAAATTTTTTATTATTTAAATTATACTTGTGATTTTTTTCCCTAATTTTGTTTAATATAAGCATAGTTATAACAAGTTTGAAAACAAGGTTTATACATACAATAATAAAAAAAATTTATCTTTTTCATATTTTGAAATTTGTGTCAAGCACAAACTTGCATTCACACATATTTATTTCTAGTGTTTAATAGATTTGAATTATCAAAGTATGGCTCTCAATTAATTGTGATTCCATATTTATTTACATGATCTTAGATTATTTTGGTAATAAGTTGTGCATCGAGACTACATTTACTTGCCTAGTTAATTGTAATTCAAATAGTATAAATATCACCTACTTGTTGGATAATTGTATTAGTGGTTATGATAAAGTTGATTTTATGATAACACTGATTTATTCTTTTGTTGTATATAAAATTTGCTCCACAAAATTTATAGATATGATGTCCCCTTCCTTGTTTGTTTATTTACATATGCCTAAATTAAGGGAAAGGGTCTCATATCTTGTTAAAAAAAAAAAAGAATTTGTCGATTGATTGTTGCACATATGCTTGAGAAGCCTAGTGTATAAAGATATCTATGTTGAGTATTTATACATAAGTTCGTGAATGAATAATATCATATCATATGATATTTTATTACTAATGTAGATCTTCGTAATTCTAAGTTGAAATTATTAATAAATTAGACGAACTTACAAAGAAACTGAGCAATGTTAACATAAAGCTCTAACACCCATTGGCCTTCTTTTGAAGCCCTCTCTTATTAGGTTCCAGCAATTAATGCCCACTCATTTATCCAATGCTTGAAAGTTTTCCTATGATGCATATAAATATTTAGTGGCTAAGTTGGTCCATCTCCCACTCTCAAAGGTCCACTAACATCTTCTATTTAAAGATAAGTCTTGTGGGTTTTATTTTTGGTAGTAATGTTATATATGTGGTTGATTATATTGTTTCATTGATATTTAATATTGACAGGTCGGAAAGTGAGTTGATTGAGACTATTGTTGAGAGTGTTTCTAAAAGAGTAGACCATGGACAATTATTTGTTGCTGAGCATCCAGTGGGAATAGAATCACGGATTCATGAATTGACAATTGAATGGTCAAAAAAGAGATCTCAAAAACCTCTTAACGTAGGCCTCTGGGGGATGGGAGGCATCGGCAAAACAATTGCCGCCAAAGCCATTTACAATACAGTACAATTGGCTGTAAGTTTAGAAGAGCAAGAAGTTTTCTTGCAAATATAAGAGAAACTTCAAAGCATGTTAATGGCCAAGTCGATTTGCAAAAACAACTCATTTTTGTTATCCTTAAAGTAAAAGTTCCCAAGATACCTAACATTGACAGAGGAAAAAGAATAATTCAAGAAAGATTTCCCAAGATAAAATCATTTATTGTATTGGATGACATGGATAGTGTCAATCAACTGAGCACATTTTGTGGTAGTCTTGAATGGTTTTGTCCTGGAAGTACAGTGGTCATAACAACTAGAAATAGCCATTTACTTGACGCCATTAATGCAGACCATAAATATGAAATAGAAGAAATGAATCGAATGGAGTCTCTTACACTTTTTAGTTGGCATGCCTTTAAACAAGCCAATCCAAATGAAGACTTTAAAGAATTGTCTAACATGGTAGTTGCATATTGTGATGGACTTCCACTGGCTCTTGAAATCCTTGGCTCCTATTTGCGTGGGAGAACAATTAAACAATGGGAGAATGTGTTGTCCAAATTACAGAGGATTCTTACTAAAAGTATACATGAAAAGTTAAAAATAAGCTATGATGGATTGGATGATGATTCAGAGAAGGATATTTTCCTTGACATATGTTGCTTCTTTATCAACAAGGACAGGAACTATGTTACACAGATATTAGATGGTTGTGAACTTCATGCTGAAAATGGATTACAAATCCTCATAGAGCGGAGCTTGGTGAAAGTAGGTAGAAATAATAGGCTTGAAATGCATTATTTATTACAAGAAATGGGAAAAGAAATCATCCGTGGAAGCCCACCTAAAGATCCTAAGAAACATAGCAGACTATGGTCTCGAGAAGATGTGCTTGATGTGTTAACAGATCATACAGTAAGAATTTTCTTAATATACTGCTTTATTTTCCAAGTTTTGATATCAAGGGATGCATTATCTTTTTCTAAAATACAATTATCATCTTCATTTTTCATTGCTACATTATACGTGTTTCATAGCCTTTGTCATAGCAATCTTGTGCGCAAGAGATATATACATGTTGGCTGTTGTTGGCTTTCTCTCAACATTTATCATATGTTTTTCCTTGCTTATAACATTTTTTCTCCTATGTCTGTATAGGGAACCGAAGCTATTGAGGGTATATCTCTAAAGGTATCAAAAACCCATAGTGATCCCATTGATTCTGAGGCATTTAAGAAGATGAAGAAACTCAGATTGCGCCAACTAGACTATGTAAATCTTAAAGGAGATTATAAACATCTTTCTAAAAAGCTCAGGTGGGTTCGTTGGCATGGATTTCCATCAAATTACACTCCAACCAACATTTACCAAGAAAACCTAGTTGCTATTGACTTCAAACGTAGCAACCTCAAAGTAGTTTGGAAAGATTCCAAGGTATATATGTTTGTTGTTACGATCTATGAAGATAATCAACAACACTCATAATATAATTCTTCTTGTATAAAGCTTCTAATTCTTCACATGCATGTTTTGTAGAAGTTGCCAATGTTGAGGACACTAAATCTCAGTCATTCACCTTTCTTGACACAAACTCCTGATTTTACATATCTACCAAACCTTGAAAAGCTTATGATGAAAGATTGTGAGAGCTTGATTTTAATTCATGAGAGCATTGGGGATCTAAAATTTCTCCTTCATCTTAATCTAAAAGATTGCAAGAGCCTCAAAGATCTTCCTAGAAGCACCTACAAGTTGAAATCATTAAAGACTTTCATTATTTCTGGTTGTTCATTGATTGACCATTTAGAAGAAGATATTGAGCAAATGGAGTCCTTGACAAGTCTTATGGCAGATAACACTTCCATAACACAACTACCCAAGTCATTAGCAAGATTGGAAGGGCTTAAGCATGGATATGTATCTTTCCCTGGTCATGAAGGAAGAGGGCAAGATATATTTCCTTCTCTCATATGGTCTTGGATGTCACCTCATGATTTTCCTCAATCCGGTATTGAAGAATCCGTGCAAAGCGTATCATCTATAGTTGCCTCAATTGGACGGAATAGTGGGTTGCGTGGTCTATGTCAATTTCTAGGCGATCTTGTGAAGCTTCCAGGTACGTGGGAGCAATGTCGATCACAGTTTCGATTTAATGAGAGAATGACAAAACTTTTGGATGCATTGCATGAGAGAAACTTTATGGGATTTAAATCAACTCAAGATACACCCGAGATCTCAATAATGGAAGCTTCTGCGTCATCTAAGGGCCATGATCACCAAGTTCACAGTGCAAGGTCAGCAGATTCCGTCAATTCTCTTTCACTTCAACTAGGAGAGTGCGAGAAAGCAGAGTTGCTAAAAGAGAAAATTTTACAGGTTTATCTCTTTTTCATTTTTTTAAGCTATACTTAGCGTGTGTGTGTGTGTTTTGTGTGTTGATATAACAATGAAAAGGCTTCAGTTTCGTTTACGGACAATAATAAAGAGAAACGTGAACAATTACTTCCCTCATGCTCTAACAAATATTTCTGCTCCTTTCTTTCGTTTTTGGGGACATTATTATTTGGTTACTGTGTTGATGCAATATAGGGATGGAAGTATGGTGAGTGGGATGATTCTCTCCTACCTGGTGATCAGGATTCTGATTGGTTCATCTTCAAGGGTGAAGGGTGCTCAGTAATTTTGAACGTGCCACAAGTGATAGGTTGTCAGTTGATTATTATAAGTATTATCGTACAGCTTGGTGATATCGTACAGCTTATTATAAGTATTGAGCCTCAATTTCATGTGAAGAAGATTGCAGCATACCTGATTTATGACGGTTCTTAGCGTCGCAGGTTATTGAAATAATTGGTGCACAAATTGATCCCGGTTTGTAATATAGCCTCGGTACTTCTGTTATAGGCTGTAATTTTTAGAAAGGGAAATAACGATTACGGGCCTTTTTAAGCAAGATAATGACAATTGAGGAGCCCAAAATTCAAAACTGCCAATTGCTACAGATTTCAGCCAAGATTTTTACAAGTCAGCTAGAGCATTTTGGTTCTTAATTAGAATTTTCCTAATCAGTATATGACCTTGATCTTCAATTGGCATTTTCAAGTTTCAGGGTCATTAACAGTCATTATCCTGCCAAAGCTGATCCTAACTGTCATTTTCCCTTTCAAAATTTGTTGTGATATGCTCGACAATGTAGTGTGACTGTTTGTGTGTGAAGATTCAGATGGGTGAATTGGACTTTGAAAAGATTATTGTTGTTTTTAAGTTATCTATTGACTGATAAAAGCTTTCCATTCCAACATCGCAATTTGAAAATCAACTCTCTTAATACAATATGAATGTTGGAAGTTCAGATCTTTTAAATTTTCAGAGTTACCAATTTGAAGTCTACCAAAAACATGGAATATAAAATCAGAGATCAAGCCATAAATTTCAAGAAACACGTTTCTGAACAGCACTTATCATCCTTTAAACAGTTTTTTTTCAAGAAAAGCACAGAAGAATCAGAAATCTTGCCCTTGCACCACAAATTTCAAATAAGTTGCAGTTTAAATGTAATGAGGTGGCTTCACATGTTGGGGGCCCTGTCAGGAAGATAAAAGAATAACGCAGGCACTTTTACTTTGTTATAAGAAGGGAACCTGAATTTATATTTGAGTATCATAATCAAACAATAAGTAAGATTCCATTTGGTCCTTTGACATAACTCCTGTATCAAATAACTTCATCAATGACTTCTTGTTTCACTTTACAACTCCAACAGGTTGACTTTATTTCAATCTTTGTTCTGCAAAAATTTACACAGAACACTGAAAGGATAATGTCAAAACAAATATTACGCCTAGGAATGGCCCTTACATAAAAGGGTCACAAAGATAGATAGTTATGTGTAGAGTTTGCTCTCTGTTTCAGTGTTTTGATGGATCACAAAGGCAGCCATGGGCATAATTGCCACAGGCATAATTAAGTACTGTTGTACTATTTGTTTAAACATAAGTGTGGTTAGAGTCCCTTGCAAATTAGTAAGCAACATAAAGAATACCAATATAAGGCCATAAATACTAATGCGGCAAATTCAAATGGTTCTTCATTCTCCAACAAATTACTTTCTTCTTCCCACATCAGACTTCCTGCATCCTATTTCTCCTGCACATGACACTCACACTCCAATGACTAACATCAACTCTCCTTTTTAAGGGAAGTGTAAACTAAAACTCTGTCACTGTTCAACAAAAGTTGCCTTGGAGGAGTATGCCTTGTGAATTTACAAAGAATTGGAAAGCTTTTTCAAGCTAATATATTTTTTTATCTGTTCTCATCGAAAGTAATTTTTTCCTCTTAAATGAATCTAAACAAAAAAGCAACAGACCTCACTTGATTTAAAAGGCACATGTTTTCCAGTGAGAAATATCCTTTCACCCGAGATTGAGAGACAAATATGAAGAGATAAAACCCTGAGTAGTTGTGAAGAATGGAGTCAAACGAGGTCGTAGATATGAAAAACTATTAAAAAGGCCAACCTCATGAGAAGAAACCAAAAGAAGTTTTGGACATGGAACCCACAACCACGGAGGAGGGACTCAAGTATCGAACCTTCTTCTCCACTTGTACAGATGAGCAGCAAGAAAGAAATCACTTGAATTGAGAGTCCCATCATCCAAGGGAATGTGTATCCCACAGCTTCCTTTGTGTCCATTACGTACAACCTACATTAATGATGACTAGCACTATTCAAAATAGTCCCGTCCCACCTAGTTTGTCTCAATGCTAGCTATATTTGCATCAGACGAACCCGTCCCAAAAACTTTTCAGACGGGACGAGCCGGAATGGGACACGAGACGGGATTGTCCCATCCCAATCCTGTCCTAATAATAATATTTTTATATTTTTTATCATATTATAATTATTAAATGTTAAAGATACAAAATGTTTAAGGCATGTATAATATATAGATATATAAAATATTCATATTTGTAGCTTTTAGCACATATGTAATTGAATAGTTATTATTTATTTAGAGTTTTTATAGTTGCTTATGATTTCTAGAATAGTGAAAATGAATTTTGAAGTTATTATATAACTGATTATTATTTATTTGGACTTCTGTTTAAGAGGATGAAGCTGGAAGAAATAAAGAGAAAACAAAAAGATGCTTTCAAAAGTGCTAAACCTAAAGAACTAAAAATAGAAGGGGAAAAAAACCAAAATCCATTATAATAAGTCCAACCACAAAACAAAAAATATTTTCTTCTAAAAAAAAAAGGACGTCTTGGTTCCGTCCCGTCCCGTCTCCATCTGACATTGGGATGAGACGAGACATGGGATAGATTTCTCGTCCTGTCCCTGTTCTTCAAGGCGAGATTGTCCCAATCTCATCCTATCTCGTAAACAGCCTTAATGATTGGATGCATTTTAACTGTTGAATGAAACGACGCAGAATCCACAACGAATTATAATAATTCAAATAAATAAGAAAGAAAAGTGAAACAGAATAGCTTCTTCAAGAGCTCAAGGCTGAACAAGCAGACAAGATAGTACGTCCTAATAATAATATCCTATATTTCTCACATAAAAGCTTAGTAGCTGAGAATGACCCAAGAATTTATTAGGTGGGTTAGCCCATCCTTAAAACTACGAGGCCTTTGCCCTTTATGGAAAGCAATCAATAAAATGAAAGAGTAGATTTTTTAGTTGTTAAATGAAATTTAGTGAGCAAAAGTTGTGAATGACCTGAATAAATGATCTTAAATGATTTATATGAGCTAATTCGATAAATTAATTTTGAGCATTAATTTAGGGGTTACCATCACAAATACAATACTTTTAAATTAATGAAAATAGAGATAGTTTAGTTTAAAAAAATTAATAATAATAATTTAAAGTTTTCTAATGAAAGAAGAGTTTCGGTTTTATTTTGTTTTGTTCTGTGTTACCTATTTTTTCTTTCTATTCTCGTTTTATTTTATTTTGTTTTGTTTGTTTGTTTCTCCGTTAGAAATTTAGGCTGTGTTTGGGTGACACCCCAAACCATGGTTTGGGGACCCAAACACTCACCTAAAAACCAAAATCATGGTTTTGGAAAAAGCAAAAAATTTTTGCTCTTGGAGAAAAAAAAGAAAGTGTGAGAGCCTATAGGATATGTATTTTGTTATTTTTTTTATAAACATATTTTTTTATAAACATATTTAATCTTATATTTTATAAATATATATACATATTAATTATTTATTAATTATATTATCTTATGTATTATTAATTATGTTAATAAAAAATATATTATTAACAATTTTATTCCTTCAAATTAAAATATATCATAAGATCTATTTTTTTGTAATTATCATATTAACTTATGTCTTTATTTAGTAATTTGTATATATAAAAAGTGCTTCTGATAACAACTATCCAAACACTCTCACTTCTCAAAATCACTTTTTCATAAAATTTATTCTTTCCAGAATCTATTCTTTCCAAAACCTATTCTTCCTAGGATCTGTTCTCCAGAATCACTTTTCTAAACCACGGTTTAGTTTTATCCAAACACACCCTTAAAATCAGACGCACGACCCAGAATTTGGAGCCGAAAGCACGATTTCTCTGTGGAGGATTTGGCAGTAAGAGACGACAACGTTTTTGGATGTACGAAAGTGGGAAATCAAACCTAGAGACACGTGTTCCACGAGTAGTGAAAGAGATGGAAAGGGGCTGCCGCTTGTGTACTGTGCAGAAGGGAGACTATCGTTTGGACTTTGGGCCCAAGTTTTTTTATGCCTCCATTAACCTCCTCATTATACTCCCTCCTATTCAAAATATAAAATAATAAGATAATATTTATTTTTGTTCAAATATTTAATGAGTTTTTGTTTAATTTTATCTCGTATATTTTTTCTCTTTAATTTCTTTATTATATCTTTTACTTATTCTATTTAATAACAAGGGTATATTTAGGAACAAAAATACATATCTTATATATTTATTATTTTAAATTGATTTTAACTAATTTCTTGATAAAATTTATCTTATATTTTGAATTGGAAGGAATATATTTTTTCTCCACCTTTTCCTTTTCATTATTTTTCGTTTATATTTTTTTTTCATTAATTGACTATTAGGCAAGGGGAAAAAAAAAAACCAGACCGGACTGTCTGGTTCAACCAGAAAACCGGTGAATCAGTCACCAGTCTGTTCTAGTTTTCCTAAAAAACCGGAGCATAGTTGAACTGGTGAAAAACCTGTTCAAACAGGAAAAACCAAAAACCGATGCTAAACCGAGTACTCACCGAATCGGTGGTTACTCAGTTTAATTTTTTTCCACTGAGCCAACGTGCAAAACGAGACCATTTCTCAACCAAAACCCAAAATCCTCCAACTTCGTCTTCGGTCTTCCCTAGTTTCCTTCCTAGATCTGAAATCCCCTCCCCAAAAATCGCAAATCGCCTTGCTCCGTCTCCTAGATTCTAGCCTTTCCCTCCACAGAATCCATAGCTTCACTGACGACGAACCTCCTAGTTCGGCCATTCACTGACAGTGGCACCTAGTCGCAAGTCTTCTGTCTCCCTCATCGCTGATGTCCTGCTTCGCCTTCACTATTCATTGGCATCGTTCTTCCTTGTTGCAACTCACATCACAAGTTGCACGGAAAGTCGCAACTCACCGACGCCATGCTTCAGCTTTACTGATGTTCTACTTCGACTTCGCTGTTCACG